ATATATGTAATTATCGTATTATATAAATTAAAAAAAAAATATTTACTAATTATTACCTTAAATTGTTCATTTAGGGTATTCGTATACCTGAACAAGCTGACCATGAGGACCCGGCCGACAATATTATGCATGGTTCTGGAAACCGACACGTTATAAGTCGGGGTATAACTGCGTCCGGTCGCCGCACTCGGGAGGACGCGATCAATGAGGCTCGGATGTTACAAACTGGTCAGGTTGGCCAGTCCGACAGTTCGAGACTTCACGCACCAGCCGTACCGGTTGGTCAGCAAGGGTATGGCCAGGCAGGCAGTTCTAGAGTCCCCGTCCCCGGACCATTACTGTACGATCATGATCAGCATAGATATTATTATGCTGGCCAGGCAGGCAGTTCGATACCTCGTGCACCAGCACCGCACGGTCAGCAGGTATATTATGCTGATGAGTCGGTAGCCCAGACGGAGCAGTCTTCTGACGAGTCCGCATCATATGACGATGCGGACGATCCTGGACTCCCACCGCATCATACACCTCTTGCTCAGCATACACCTCCTACACAGCATGCGTCTCCTGCACAGCCTGCGGTTCCTGCACAGCCTACGGCTCCTGTTCGGCCTGCTATTCCACGACAGGCTGGTGGGCGTTTTGCTAGCACTGGATCCTCAGGTAAATAATTTAAGTATTTTTATTTCGTTTGACATTAATATTTCGACTTAATCGCAACAAATTATCAGTACTTTTAGTGACATTGTGACACGGGTCGTGTGACACTCACACGACTGTGACACGGGTCATGTAACACTCACACGACTAGTGTCACTTAACACACGAGTCGTGTGACCCATGAAAAAATTGTCGATTTGGCTACAACTTTTTCACACGACTCGTGTGACAGTGAGACACGGGTCGTGTGACACTCACACGACTCGTGTCACTTATCACACGAGTCGTGTGATTCATGAGAAAATTGCTGATTTAATTACGGCCTTCTCACACGACCCGTGTCACACGGGCACCCGAGTCGTGTGAGCCCACACGACTCGTGTCATACTGTCACACGAGTCGTGTGACCCCACACGACCCGTGTTATTCTGTCGTGTGATGGGTCGTGTGGACCTGAGTGTATGTCGAAAATTGAATTCCTGTGCCTAGTCGACATTATTTCAATTATGTATTTATATATTTGTCTTTTCTATTCTAATGTAGGTACTAGCAAACGATCTAGGACTGATGATGGGGGAGACTGGATCGTTAGCGGTCCAGTTCCCGGTGGGCCCATGGATGGGAGTGTGATCCCTAGCTTTCTAGGGCACGTAGCCTCCCGAATGTGGAGTGGACAAATGCGAGACTTACTGAAATGCCAGAACAGGCAGCGAGCTGTAGAAAATCTGAAAGCTTGGCGAGGTGAAATGTCTGCCGAGGCACTCGATCTGATTAGACAGACTGGGCTGTCACATCTGGTAGACTCCATGCACGCCCACTTGGACACTCCACTGATTACTGCATTTGTGGAGCGATGGCAGCCTGATACTAACTCGTTTCACATGCCTTTTAGTGAGATGAGCATTATGTTGCACGATGTCCGGGCCATTTTGGAAATTCCTGTTGAGGGAGGTGTGGTCGTTGAGGACCCGGATTCAGAGGCATGTCAGGCTTACTGCATGGAGATACTTTCGGTCACGAAGCCTGACCTAATTGTGTCTGTGTGGCAGCGTGGTTCGGTGGCCGAAGCCTCTGTTGGGGAGACATTTAGAGGTAAAAATAAGTTGGCTTCAGATGAGGCTGGTGCCTAGATTTGGGTGC